AAGTAATTATTAACTTACTAATTACATCTTCAACAGTGTAATTAGTTTGCTGTAATTACTCTCTAAGTATTGGATACTTTATTTGTAATTACAGTACTTTCTAAATCCCATATAAACTTCGACCAGTTGAACAATACAAGGACAGACAAAAAACTGCACTGTAAATTCTTTCAAATAAAAAATCAATTGCATAAAATTTATTCTTGAACTGACCAAAGTGTGTAACTAGAGAAGGTTACATTAAAAACATACATAACATTAAATGTAAAATCCAGTATTGTTTTGTTGTATAGTCTATACAGTATTTAATGCAATTATATCAAATGTAGCCTAACTGTAATTAAATGACTGGGGGCAGTTGTTGCTGCCATGATTGCGGGTTCAAGTCTCAGTACCGGCAGGAAATGTCAACGCATTCTCATCCCAAGGCGTCATATACTGACGCTTTTGCCAAAGCGTCTACATCCAATGCACATGGCACCCTTTAGCGTCAATACAACACGCTTCGGTTATGGGAAGGTTTAGGTCTGGGGTAGGGTAGGGTTAGGGTTAGACCACTAGGAGGCGCCTTCTGGCTCATATATATCTGCGTCTCATATTGACGCTAAAGGGTGCCATGTGCGTTGGATATATACCATAGACAGTATAAGAAATGGACAGAGCCATCTCATTGGAACTCAGTTGAGACAGTTGAAGCCCATTTTTAGCGATTTCTGAGCACTTCCGTTCCTGACGCGCAGACTCAAACCGACTCAAACTAAGCTTGATGACGTGAGCAACCTGTCTGACAGACGTTAATCTTCTAGTAGCTGTGCGTGAAAATTGCTAACGTTAATCTTGCAGAGACGGGGAACTTGAGCAAAGAGTTCTTTGGCGTGAGTGAGCAGGAGTAAGTATTCCGTTGCTTTTATGGACTCATTATCTACGGGCTTCTCTCTTGACGGGACGTCCCCCCGATTGCCTGCGAGCTTCTCCTGCTGTCTGTACGGTAATTTCTGTACAGCGCGACAGAGAGTCGAGTGGTTATGACGCAATCGTTAGCCTATTTTTACTAAAACTGTTTCTACGGGGCCATGATGTAACATAGAAGGTAATGGAGCACTTTATACATTGTCGTGTTTCTTTAGAAATAAATAATGGACAAATGGAGTCTTTAAACGCCTCAGATGTAAAGTTATTCGCTGTCAAAGTGACGCCAAAATGAATGGGAGTCAATGGAAATGCTAACGCAAGTGAAGTTCTGCTACAACATGGCGGCACCCGGCCGGCTTCAACTTCCGGTCGATGGATTACCCCCTTGATATATACGCATTGGCAAAAGCGTCAGTATATGACGCCTTGGAATGAGAACGGGCTGCAAATGTAGGTGGGGGGACTGAATGAACAGTGCTCTCTTCCACTCTCACCCACAACTGAGGTGCCCTTGAGCAAGGCATCTAACTCCAAATCGATCCCCGGGCACCATATCAAAAATGTATAGGACACCCTACTTGGATACACGTCACATTTGTATGTGAATATAACCCTAAATTCAATCTGTTCATCATATAAAGCGATCGTGTCTCTTCCGAAAATTTGGACTAAACCACTTAATTCATATGGATTAGTTTTACATTTTACAATCTCTTAATGAACTTTTTGAAGTGTCAGTTGTGTAGCTGTAAATGGAGGGACAGAAAACAATGAAAGCAGCTGAAGGATAACTGAAAAGGCAGCTTAAATATTAATGCTGTGATAGGCGTTGTGTCCCAATAGGTAGACATGGATCAGCTGAGTGTCTGACTAAAGAAACCTGCCAGAACTGATATATACACTTGATAGGCACAACAATTAACGTTCTTTACTTGGGCCATGTTTACAACTGGTATTAAGGAGCGTTTTCGTCAATATAATCACTAGGGCAACACAAACGGGTACTTAAATGTTTTGAGCTTGTCCAAGGTGTTTTCCACTTTCAGAGTTGAAAACCTTTGACTGAATTAGTGAATAAGTCATGTAGTGGAATGTGTTCGAAGAGCCACAAATGACCACCTACTGCCCTAATGCGTAAACTTTATAAGAAGCATGCTAGACAGACAGGACTTGTCGGCTGAGGACCTAATTTTGGTTTGAAAACGAAAAACGTACCAAGCACAATGTTCTGTCACCATTCCAGATTTCTAACACTCACTCACAGTGTTCAGTGTGATCGCACAGATGCTCAATTGGATTGAGATCTGGGGAATTTGGAGGCCAGGGCAACACCTTGAATTCTTCATTATGTTCCTCAAAGCATTCATGAACAATGTGTGCTGTTGGCAGGGTGTATTATCCTGCTGAAAGAGGAACACCATTGTCAGGAATGTCCATATGAATAGCCAGACCCATGGTTTCACAGCAGAGCATTGCCCAGAGCATCACACTCCCTCCATCGGCTTGTCGTCGTTCCACAACAATGCAATCACTTCCCCAGGATCACGGCGCACACGTACACAGCCGTCCACATGATGTAAAAGAAAACGGGACTCATTGGACCAAGCCTGCCTTCTTCCAATCCTCCAAGGTTCTGTTCTGACGCTCGCTTGTCCATTTTAGGCACTTTTGCCGGTGAACAGTGGCCATCATAGGCACTCTGATTGGCCCCATACGCAGCAGAGTGCGATGCATCCATCATTAACATTTTGTGTGACTTGGGGCACAGTAGATCTTCTGTTGGCTTGACTAGACAGGATAGCCTTCATTGCCCTTCGTTGACGGGATAGCCTTCATTGAATCGATGAGCCTTAGGCGCCCAACATCCTGTCGCCGGTTTGTGGTTTGATCCAACAGGATACTGTTGGTATCCTGGTGGATCAACCCACAAGCCTTGCCGTTTCAGAGATTCTCTGAACCAGTCGCCATGCTTTAACAGTTTGACCCTTGTCAAAAGTCACTCAGATCTTTATTCCTGCCCATTTCTCCTGCATCCAACATGTTGATTAGAAGAATTGATTGTTTGCTTACCATCTAATCTACCCAGACCTTATTATGTGGCCTTGTTAGGAGATGATAAACGATATGCACTTCACCTGTAACTGGTCATGGCCAATGTTTTGGCTCATCAGTGTATATTTTGCATTTTATTTATACATTTAGCATTGTTTTTCATTCCTCTACACAGCCTGAAACCTAGCAGTGGAGAACCACTGGTCTAAGATAAAATGTTGATTCAGTCATGTGATTATTCAAAGCAGATTAAAGCTCACGAAAAGAATAAACACCTTCAATTAGTCAGAGAAGTTGCACCACAAAGTTTTTTTCCTTTTAAATAATTTAATACTTTTTAAAATTATTTGGCTTACTACATTTGACCTGTGTATCACACTAAACATACAAAATAACAAGAAATAGTTAATTCATAATCCATTAAATAATGCATTGATAGTGTAACTGTGACCCTTCTATGTGAATGGAGAGCAGAACACTGGGGTACAGCTCAAAATACCCAACGACAGTGTAGCACATACAAAGGTCCATTGTGTACAGCACCTAAAACACCCTTACGCTATTAACATTTTTTTTTTCAGGTACACTTGAAGACAATTTCAATCCATTTACATGGATCTTTTGTACAGCAGGTCAGAAATATTGGATATATTTAGATACAAACATATTTAGAAACAAATCAAACTCCTGTGACTCGGTTATCTCACTTGTGTGTTAAATGAACAGAGAATCGCTAAAATCAATGAATACACAGCAAAGTGCCGAGATTCTCCTAATCACATCAGGATAACAGAGAGCTAGGTCATCAGAGATCTGGATTTCTGTCTGTCAGTTTAACAGGAGACGGATAGGTTTTATCGCGACTGTTTTCAGGAAGATTGCTGTAGTAGCCACTGAGCTCCGGGTTGCTCATACATTATTTCCTACAAACATCCTGGAACACAAAAGCTAGGCTACCGTCAAAGTGAAATTGCACCACCAACAATTCGGTTTTAAACATTACAATTCATTTCAATAAAAATAAAAAACAACAAGAATAACACCCTACAGGCATAAAAAAATATTCCTTTTTGTTTTCGTGATATATTTCAAGTACACTAAGGTTAATTCACATCAAGTGTAGAATATCTCAAAGCAGAAGCACTAAATTCACTCACATCATAAGCTTGAGTTGAACTATGTGTTTGACACGGACACACTGTGCACTGCAGCTCATTAGGGAAATTCATTCTCATGTATTGTGTGCAGAAATTCGTCCTCTGAATGTAAACTGAGCTCCCAGCTCGTCTTGAACTATTTACCGCAGCATGTTACCACAGACACACGTCCGAGTGATTGTTCACATTCACGATAATAATATGAAATCAGTGCTGAGGCAGCACGGAATATTGCATGTTCAAACGCTTGAGACACAATTGTACTCTGTACAGTATGTACACAATATCTGTGCTCTGTGTCTCCAGATGGGAGTGTGCGTTAGGTGAGGGCTTTCTCTCTCCCCTCACCTGAGTGGGGTCAGGGTGGATCTGTGTGGTTTTGGATGGGGTTTGTAGAGTTTCTTTGGGATTTTGAGTTTCAAGAATTGCACTTCACTTATTTTGTATCACTTATAAGAGTTTAAGAAAGATAAACAACCCATCCAAAAGCCCTGAAACATGCAGTATGTTTAATTGGTACAATTATGTTTTTTTCTTTTCTGTTATATAGTTTTTTTTTTCTGTTTTCATGTTAATTGATTGCTTTAAAAATATTCCACTTTCATTTTGCATTAAAATGTTCTTCAGATACATGTTCATCTAAGACTATCATTCGTTACAGGAATATTCAGCAGTCAGCTATCTCCAGTCCTCTTTAGGGTACATCCTGTGGAAAAATCAGGAAGGGTGCCATTGCTAAATTAAAAGTCCAAACAATAAAGCAGCAGTAAGCATCACATTAAAAAGGCTTGAGCATTCTATTGTTTATAAGTAAATAATCAACTTAATCAATTTAATTCACATTTGAATCTATATCTGCATTGTAATGCTAAAGAAATTAGCCTTTGAGATTTTTAACTTCACTTGATGCATTTTATCAGGAATATTAAAGACATTAACCCAATTATTCCACAGGATCATCACAGAGCCACACTCTCAGAAAAAAAGTGCAAAAAAATGTACATTTATGGGCATGGCAGCTTGTCACTGTAGCAGAACCTTTAATGGGTCATCTTTGTACCTTATTTAGTCCTAAAAGTTTCATAGTAGTACCTTAAGGGTACATAATACTACTCTAAAGTACTAATATTCACCCTTTAGGGGTATATAAAGTACATACCAATTATTGTCCCTTAATATACATCCAAATTTGGAACTGGTACTGCCCCGTTGACAAGCTGTTGTACCCCTAAAAATAAATTTTTTGAAATGTATTCTGACAGTGCATGACAGTACAGGAAGGAAGCTGATAGCCATAACAGCGCTAATACATAGAGAAACCTGTAGAACACCAAATCTGTGAGGTCTCATCTGGGGCTTGCAGCAAATTCAAACACCAAAAGCACTTCCACAGACACTAATGGTTTCATTTTCACACATTCTTGATGGTCAATGAATAATCCTAAATAACATTAGAATCCAATGAAAAACATGGAACAGATCATTTGTTGTAACTGATCCCTTTATGATCTTAAGTTACCATGACTCATTTTCTTTCATAATCTGAATTTTAAGATTGTTTTGTGTTCACAATGCATATCTTTGATGTATGTATTTTGTTTTAAATGAGCTGAACTGGACCAGAGCAGGTGTGCCTCAAAGAAGATGTAGATGAACCCGGCGAGGAGCCTCTCGGCCAGCACTGACTCTCTCCCATTCTCTTTCTCTCTTGGTCTCAATCTCCATTCATCTCCATAACCTTTTCTGTGAGGATTTCACGGAAGGTTGAAAGCTGCTTCATCTGCTCTGTCTGCATCGAATGTCTCCTCATCAGTTTCTTCTTCATCTTGAAGTCAGGACCACGTTTTGGAGATGATGGTGCAACCGGCAGCAGGATCTTGCTCCCTGAGTGAACAGGAGAAGTGGGTTTTCCGTTAGCTCGGATATCAGGAATGGGTCGCTGGGGGTTGACGTTGAGAGGAGGAAGGAACCCAGGTCGTGTGTGGGAGATGTGGTCCAGGAGGAGAGTCCCTGATCCCCGCCGTTCCAACAGTCCTGTTGGACGCCGTCGCATTGTGATGGGAGACACAGAGTTGGGAATGCTTTCCAGAGACTCTCGAGAAGAGCTAGTGAGGAGCGACAAGGGAGAGGCATTGTACTTGCGGCGCTCCACTGAGACACGTCCAGAATCTGGAGATCCAGGGATGGAGGCAGGACACAGGTGAGTGTCCGACTCGTAGTGTTCCATGCGGGTGAGTTTGGGGTGTGGCAAGCCACGGATTCCCGCCGATGCCTGAGCCACATTGTCCTGAGTCTCAGGGGCCGTGTTTCTACGATACAGTGACTGGTGCTGATGGACTTTATCCGCCCAGGACGAGCCACACAGTGCTGCACAGTCTTCCGAACAGGACCTGTCCATTAGCTTCGGCGAAGATGGGTCATGGGTCTCTATACTGTGCCTTCGCGACAGGAGAGGTCTGCCTGGACCGGAAACTGTCATCCCATTCATCTCTGAGACCAACTTGTCCTCCTCTGCTAAATCGCCCTCTATCCGCTCTGCTCTCTCAGCAAGTACGGAAGGAGCCACCAGACCCCAGGGCTCCGAGTTCAGTCTTTTCAGAAGCTTGCGGGGCGGTGGTCTCCTCTCCCCCTGTGGTCTGCTGGAAGGTACTGGGAGTGCTAAAGTCACAGCGAAGCTGAAGATACCTTCCTCTTCCTTACTGGGGGCAGGGCCAGTGGTGTGGATCTCCACTTCGGACGGAGACATACAAGCAGGGGAGAGATTGTCCACTATACCCGGAGACGGTGGAGAGTTCAGGTATTGTTTGGTCTTTTTAGTGCCAGAGGGTGATGTATCGGTTGTAATGATGATTACCTCTTTGCCTTTGGCTTTGCAGGCATCCAGCAGGACCTGGAGAGTGTCCCGGTCACCCTTATTGATGGCGTGTACAAGTGCAGAGGACCCGGAGTAGTCTTTCAAGCTGGGATCAGCGCCGTTTTCCAGCAGCAGCGACACCACCTCTTTGCCTCCCTGTTCTGCACATGCATGCATAAGGGCGGTCCGACCCGATTTGTCGGGAATGTTTGGGTCTGCTCCCTTCTCCAGCAGGTATCGCACCATTCTCTGCCGGGTCTGCGGATCATCGTATCCTGCCAGACAGGCTGCTATGATGGGCGTCTCTCCTCGCTCGTTCCCTTCGTTGATATAGGCTCCACCCTCCAGGAGGAGGCGTGCGAGGCGGAGTTTGCCCTGGAACACAGCTTTCAGAAGGGCATTGCCCTCCGTGCGCAAGGCCCCTCCATCACCCATGATGTCACGCTCTCCACCTCAAGAATCCCAGAATCCTCCACTCTCCCGTCCTCCGGCCTCAGCACTGTCTGCACATCCCGGCTCAGATTCTGGTCAACCTGGAACGAAAAGTGCTTTGTCATGAGGTACATTTGGCAAACTTTGCTTTTTACTTAATTGCATGAATTTCTTTCAATTTCAATTTATTTGAATTGTACTTCCTTACATTCAAATATACTTCTGTATCAAACTAAATTCAGTTGAAATTCAGGAAGTGAATTGGAATTTAACAGGCATTCTCAATTCAGTTTAGAATGTCACACCACTCAAATCAATCAAACAAAATCTGAAATCTAAAAGCACATTATTTTGATCAGACTCAAAACCACATAATCCACAGCACTCAAAACTCCATAATTACTCTACATTGTCTTACTATTAACACTTTAAAATGATTGTTAATTGTTAGTTAACCATGTACCCATGAATGCATTAACTAAAGTTAATGTATACAAACTTATAAAGGTGTTGCCTTCTTAGTCAGTTGTGTTCTGAACACTGTGTCCTGTGCGCTGACACTCTGCACAGCCCTGTACTCTTTAACACAGTCTTCTCTCCACCTTCTCTGTAATGAAGGCAGGAGAAGAGATGATAATGGCAGTCCAGTAAAGAAAAGAAAATTGAATTCCTGAGTGGTGCAAAGAGCATCAAGACATGTGACCTAGCTCAGTCCGCTCTGCACACAGACACCAGAGATTTACTGACACAAAAATTATGTTGTTCAAAATAGTTTTATTTGATATCTGAGGTACTGCAATTGCAAGGTAAGGCAAAAAAAACAACATATTTACAATATTTAACAGTTGTTTTTGACTCTATATGATGTTTTTTTGAGCTGAAAAAAATGTGTGGGGGAGGGGGATTAGTGTGAAAGATGATAATAATTATTAGACCCAAAAAAGAGGTGAATGTTCACCCTCAATCAGAAACCTTCCCATCATGCAATGTATGAGCTAACTATCTTGGTAAGATGATTAGAGCAAGCGACAGGGGGTGGGCAGGAGGGCATCCAGTCTAATAATAGCATTATTAACATTCCACAGCCCTCGAAATCAGTTTAAATATGAAATTCAGTGAGCCCAAAGTCAAATGGCATATTGATATAGTCACTGAGAATGAAACCATCCTCTTTTCAAACTGAAACAATGAGCTACATAATCAGGGAGGAGAGAAAGATTCAATTGTTTTGACTAAGTTGGCAGTCGCTCATGTAATGTCACAGAGGGTTGTCAGGGTGGTTGGAAGATGGTGACATTAAGTGACTTATTTGAGGTCAGTGGGGGAAAGGACAAACTAACTGCGCAAGGTAAAATCTGAGATGTTCCTTCACAGTCTGATTTGTTGAACACACAGAGTGAGAGTCCTCATCTATATATAATTTGTTTGATTTATTCCTTGTGTTCTTTCACTCGCTGCTGTTCTGCATAAAGATCGTGAACTCTGGTGATATAAAGCAGCGATATGCAAAGATGTACTGAGACAAAAAAAACAGCCAAGGACCCATGCCGGCCCAGGACACAACACACAGCAGATAACAGCCCAGTAAAAAGTACAGTATGCACACTACCCTTCAAAAGTTTGGGGTGAGTAAGATGGGGTGAGTTTGGGGTGAGTTCAGCGTTAAGTTGAATTAAAGACATTTATAATGTTGCAAAGAACTGTTTTCAACATTGATAATAATAATAAGAAATGTTTCTTGAGCACCAAACCAGCATATTAAAATGATGTCTAATATGCTCATATTGATCATGTGACACTGAGGACTGGAGTAATGATGCAGAAAATCCAGCTTTGTCATCACAGGAATAAATTACATTTGAAAATATATTCAAATAGAAAATTATCCTTTTAAATTGTAATAATATTTCACAATATTACTGTTTGTACTGTATTTTTTGATAAAATAAATGCAGCCTTGTGAGCATAAGAAAACAAACAAATTTACTGACCACAAATTTTGAATGGTAGTGTATGAACAAGTATATAATACAAATGATTGCTTTATATATATACACTCACCTAAAGGATTATTAGGAACACCATACTAATACTGTGTTTGACCCCCTTTCGCCTTCAGAACTGCCTTAATTCTACGTGGCATTGATTCAACAAGGTGCTGAAAGCATTCTTTAGAAATGTTGGCCCATATTGATAGGATAGCATCTTGCAGTTGATGGAGATTTGTGGGATGCACATCCAGGGCACGAAGCTCCCGTTCCACCACATCCCAAAGATGCTCTATTGGATTGAGATCTGGTGACTGTGGGGGCCATTTTAGTACAGTGAACTCAGTGTCATGTTCAAGAAACCAATTCGAAATGATTCGAGCTTTGTGACATGGTGCATTATGCACCTTTGTGATGGGTACATGGTGGCCATAAAGGGATGGACATGGTCAGAAACAATGCTCAGGTAGGCCGTGGCATTTAAACGATGCCCAATTGGCACTAAGGGGCCTAAAGTGTGCCAAGAAAACATCCCCCACACCATTACACCACCACCACCAGCCTGCACAGTGGTAACAAGGCATGATGGATCCATGTTCTCATTCTGTTTACGCCAAATTCTGACTCTACCATCTGAATGTCTCAACAGAAATCGAGACTCATCAGACCTGGCAACATTTTTCCAGTCTTCAACTTTCCAATTTTGGTGAGCTCTTGCAAATTGTAGCCTCTTTTTTCTATTTGTAGTGGAGATGAGTGGTACCCGGTGGGGTATTCTGCTGTTGTAGCCCATCCGCCTCAAGGTTGTGCGTGTTGTGGCTTCACAAATGCTTTGCTGCATACCTCGGTTGTAACGAGTGGTTATTTCAGTCAAAGTTGCTCTTCTATCAGCTTGAATCAGTCGGCCCATTCTCCTCTGACCTCTAGCATCAACAAGGCATTTTCGCCCACAGGACTGCCGCATACTGGATGTTTTTCCCTTTTCACACCATTCTTTGTAAACCCTAGAAATGGTTGTGCGTGAAAATCCCAGTAACTGAGCAGATTGTGAAATACTCAGACCGGCCCGTCTGGCACCAACAACCATGCCACGCTCAAAATTGCTTACATCCCCTTTCTTTCCCATTCTGACATTCAGTTTGGAGTTCAGGAGATTGTCTTGACCAGGACCACACCCCTAAATGCATTGAAGCAACTGCCATGTGATTGGTTGATTAGATAATTGCATTAATGAGAAATTGAACAGGCGTTCCTAATAATCCTTTAGGTGAGTGTATGTTCACTATACTTTAATATATCTTAACTGGCTGCTTTTGTATAATGTTATTTATTGAGTTGACTAAGGCCATGTCCACACGGACACGGGTATTTTTATAACCGGAGTTTTTCCTACAGCGTTTTTAAAAAAAATCCCGTCCACACATGCTCGGTCTCCGTCTACATGAAAACGTAAAAACACGCAATCAAGCGCGGTCAAGAGCATGCCACGCCAGCAGGCGGTGATATAAACCTTAACCCTAAAGCCACGTTGGCCAATCAGAAGCGCAAATCTGATGTCAAACACAGCTGATAACGGCGCACACTCTGACGTCGCAAGGCAAAAACCCCGGTTTCACTGTCACACGACAACACTGTAACCGGCGTTTCTGAAAATCCTCACCCTGGCAGGGGTTTTCAAAAATGTTCGGTTTCAGTGCGTTTTCGTGTGGACGAACGGCCGAACCGCGTAAAAAAAGTCACGGTTATAAAAATACCCGTGTCCGTGTGGACAGGGCCTTATATTATGGTTTCCTAACAAAATATCTATCTGTGCTGCACCATGTAACTTTAAACATTTGTATATTTACATTATACAGCCATCCCTCAAGTCGACTGGCCCACCAGAAGAGGCCCCGGTGCTCCTAACGCCCAGTCTATCTCTGGCAATGCGAGAAGAACACTGGGAACGTTCAGAGTGTGTAGCTGTGCAGAATTCACATCCCTCCTCCATCACACCAATACACCCACAGACCCCGAGCTGCTGCTGCTGCTCCTCCTGCCTGCCTTCTTAAGGAATTCTCTGTGATTTCCGAGCCAGCTCAGCCAGGGAAAGCAAGAGGAATGCTGTTTTTGCATACTGATTATGCGAGGTGGAGAGGAACAGGGAAAATAACTCTGTTCTTTGAAAGTGTAATTGCAAAAAAAAATCCATCTTTAAGAGGCCAGGGTCTCATGGATTCGAGACAGTGAGGTTAATCTCCTGTCTCACACAGGCAGCATGGATGACTCATCTCCATGATAGACTCACTGGAGAGATGTGGCACAAAGACTTGGGGCAAGCGTCGTCTCTCAGGAGATCAGCCTGCCAAAACCCACAGGCCTTCTTGTGTGTATCCTGACCTGATGTGTATTGTGACCAGCCTATTTTAAAGGGTCAGTACACCAGAAAATAAAAATTGTCATCAATTAAATTGAGCTTCTGCAAGAACCAATGAGGTTTGTTCTCACGTGTCAAGCAAGTAGGGTTGAGCTTCTATTTACCATATTTAAGTGATCTATGTATATTAGCTGATCAATGTTTATATGTGAATAAAATCCTAAATTAAATCTGTTCATTATATAGAGCTTCTCTTCAGAAGACTGGGATTAAACCACTTGATTAATATGGATTTATTTTACAATCTTTTTGATCAACATTTTGAAGTGTTTTGGGTGTACAGAACAGACTTTCAATGTAGGGACAGAAATCTCTCAGATTTCATTAAAATGTGGAACATATTTTTGAAAAAGGTCTCAATGTTTTTTTTCATATATTCAAAGTCAGAGGGATCCAATATTGTTTAGACCCCAATATTCTTCAGATATCTTATTTTGTGTTCAGCACAGAAGTCATACAGGTTTGGAACGACATGAGGGTGAGTAACTGATGACAGAATTTTCATTTTTTAATGAACTATCAATTTAAGGACATCAGCCAAGGCTTTTGTTCTGGTCAATGCCAAGACTTATACATTTTGAAGTTCTATTGCTATTGTCTGTGATCACAATTCACATGTCTTCTTCGTTTAATTGTAAGTCTGTGTAAAAACACTCATGTTTCCCTTGTCTTTGGTCAAGTATTCAGTTTATTTCATGAGTTCAGTTTCGATGCTACAGACTGCTTGCTCAGTTTAGAAGCAGTCAGAGCTAATATGTAGGGATATATGCAAAGAAGATGCTTAAAGTTATGTAAGTGCATGCAGCTAGTGCAATTCTGCACCAACATCTGTGTTTTCTAAATAAATTGCTTTCTAATTTGCATAATTTAGATATACTCTAGAACCATGAGGGTTATTTATACACAGACTGATTAAACAAGAAACACCTGGTACATTTCAGGGAGGGATTGTGAACATTACAGTTATGTATTTGCCAGATGAATTTTTTGCAAAGTGATTTACATTGCATTTAATGTATACATTTTTATCTGTTTTATCAGTTTTGTCTTTGGCTCCTCCAAACATAAGGGGAAACGAACTGAACTTCAAGACTTGCATTAAAAAAAAACGTTACAGATGTCTGATTCTTCACTCACTTTTGTACCTCCAAAATGGATGTTATGTCACACATGATGACATATTACAAAAAAAAAAAAAAAAATTTTTACAGACTTCCAAAACACATAAATATGACTAAAGGCAGAAGATTGTATTTATGAAAGTACATGTTATCTGATCAGATTAAGTAGTTGTTTTTTTCTAATAGCTGTCTACAGCTGTGTCACTCTGAATTCACTTTTCTCTTGCATTTGTTGTGTATTAAAAGATATCAGGATTCTCAGTCAATATTTGGTATATGTGTAGATATTAGATATTGACTTCACTGTCACTTGCAAAATGACAGTTCAGACAGTCCCAAAGATTAAATTTGATAGATAAATTGGATTTATGTGCCACTAAACAAAGCCTTTGCTTTTCCCAGCATTCCCTATGGATCTTCGAGTGTGTACACACCAGTGTAGTGGAGAGCAAAATAAACTTGCCAATTTTGCAGCATGTTGAGAAGCATGTCGAGTCTGCGTTTTAGTGCTGCGCCATAGGAGCGAGGCGACACACCACGCTGTCTTGTCGGGACAAATCGTATCCAATTCTCTCTGGTCTCCCGACAGATGATGGAGATTAATATCATGTCTTCATTCTCACACCACTGAGAGACCCAACCCATGGCTTTCTTTTTTACGTAAAAGCAGTCTGTGTGTGACTCTAGGCTTCATCTGAGGTATCGCGAGTGGGCCCGTGAGCAGAAAGGGCTGCGCAGTCAAACCTTTTCGCCCCACCAAGAGCCCCGTGGTGCCTTTGAGCTGCTGTTTGCCTCATTAGATCACACGGATCAAGGCAGGTGCAATCCCTTTTGCAGCTGAGAGAACAGCATCCATCAGCGGTGCACCGCTGACCCTGTGACCCAGTCGCATCAGAACTGCTGAGGAAATTCATCACTCATATTGGCAGCTTCACCGAGAACCATCCTGCAGAGGGGCAATGAGATTATCTCCTTCATACTAAATGTCCTAAGCGTTCCTGACACGTCCGCTGAACTGCCTTTACTGCCGTTTGTGTTTCTTTTCGAATGTTTATTGTGGCATGTTTAGATCTCGGTGTCATTTTCATCGCCGTACATGTTGTGCTGAGTTTGTTTTTCTCCTACACTTGGTCTTTAATGAAATGAATGCCAACAAAACCACTTGACTCGACTAGACTGAGTGTTCAGTGATTTACAGAGCTGAGAATGAATTCTCCTCCAATTCGAGAGCAATCTGCGCGTCTCCTTTCACATAACTGCACACAACCAACACATTCTTCTCTGCCCTCGAACTGCAGACGTTTTATGCAGACAGGAAAGTAGCTTCATGTGATCAATGTAGAAATCTGATGATTAATATACAGCATTTATGGATATGTCTTACGTTTAAGATTTGCTTTTTGCATTCTGACATTGTTTTTGAGACAAATAAGCTTATTTTACCCCCCAATTCTCATTGCATCTGATCATGTCCCTCTTACTATCCCAATTACTTTTACGTGATATATTTCTCATTACTGTAAAGTAGTATTTTTAGAAGTATTTTATTTTAAAAAAGCTAAAATTATTTTAATAACAAACATAAGTAAATAACCAAGGCATGATGAATAAATGCATCACAATAAATGATTTTTTTCACATGACAGTAATTGAAATTAGACTGTATTTTGTAGACAGTCGGAGCAGTTTGATGCTGAAACTGATGCGTTTCAGACTCGACTTGCAAGCCAGCTGCAAATATCTTCAGCTCAGAACTATTTTTAGTCTCAAAGCATCAAATCAGCTCTCTGACTGATGCAAGCTTTTTTTTTTTTTAAGAAGCTTACATTTTTTTAATTTTTAAAATATATATATAAGAAAAAACTTGGCATGATCAAAAAAAATATTTTTTTTCAAATAGGTCATGAGAACTGGGGTGTAAAATACTTAATTGTCATAATAATCAAAACTCTTAATAGTCCTAAAAATAGGCTTCCTATGCAAAATACAATTCCTTTTGTTTTCTTGATTTTGGAGTGATATCACTGGGGCATCTTTTTGATATCCTTAGTGAGATTTGCCTATATGCTTTATATACTAAATTAATACTTTTGTGCTATAGAATTTATATAGTGCTTCAATCAACTCCATACTTGCTTGCCACTATACCATACGTGGTATTGCTATTGCCATGTTCAAAAAAACCGTGGCAATATCATTGCAGTACAATGGTATTATTTCTTACATAGGCAACAATGCAAGCAGCAACATTTCTAATTACTTAATTATGTAATTGGAAATATTACTAAAATCATACAAGAGAGTAACAGCTGATTGTGTGTCGCTGTCCGCGGTGCTGAACGTCAAAAACGGAGCAGTTTCAGAATTTGACGTGTTACAGACTGGTGGTTTTACACGCCAGCTGCAAATATCTTCAGCTCAGAACTATTTTTAGTTTTGAAGACTCAAATTTGGTGTGTATTCACGTCAGCTCTCTGCCTGACGCAAAGCCTCAGTGTCCACAAATGAACTTCCGAACAGCAGACACACACTTCAAGTCTCTGTGAGAGAAGCAAACGTGCGCCAATCGCCACATAAAGGCTCATATTTTAAGTTTTCGTGCAGTAAAGTGAGAGAATGAACATTATAGCAGCATAAATATCAGTCTTAAACCTCCTCTTAGACACCCAGTAAATCTTCAGTGATCTTTTTCAAAAGGATCTTAAGGAAATGCCAGCACACAGTCGGTGTAGCCGAGAATCCGAATTGCGGTGCATGAATTTGTCAGCTGTTCTCACACCGCAATGAACGTTTATAAAGCCTTATGAACAGCAGCAGCCACATGCACATCATTCCTCCAATAAAACATTTGCTTTTACCTTCATCAACTCACACCTAAAATGAGCACCCATTTCTAAACAGTGCACATGCATTCCGGCGGAAAATGATTTCATAGTCGTTTGCATGCTTCTCAACATGGAAAAAAATGCTCTATAAAAGTGGTTTGAAATGTAGCCTAAATATCAAGAAAGACGGTGCAGGGAAATGTTAAGATATCTGCAATACTGAAGTCTGCTTAATTATGACCATGCTCAGTTGAGAATAATACAAAATAATAATGACAATAATAATACATTTTAACATATGCAAAGAAGCATTTGCAGAAGAGTATGTCGAGAGTCTCACCGTGTATCTGCTGTCTTCACTCCATCAGAGCGGCTGGTTTTCGCCCGAGAATCCAGCTGCTGTCTGCTGATCCCCGTGTCTTACATCCCCCACATCATCTCTCCTCCTGCGACCGAGAGTTTGGGAGACTCTGCGGGGGCGTGGAGTGGGCAGTGAGCTGATGCGAGTCTCCCACGATCACGCACAGACTCACTGGCTGTCTGACTGCTCGCATGCACGGCACCATCTCTGCTTTCCACTAGGGGGAAACTTTATTTCAAATATTATCATTCTTTTCATTTTAGCATAGAATTTTTTCCTCTTTTTTGATGCACCCCTGCATGTGTGTGTCATGGTGTGCTATGTTTACAGGTGGAATACAATTTGATACCATAATAATAGGCTAATAATAGACTTGTCTTGTTTAAGAAATAGACCAAATTTGGCTTGATGCATGAGAACATTTAAGCATTGTGTGTGCTTTACACAGCCAAGTTAAAGCTGCTCTGAGCAGGCTCTGTGTCTACTCTAAATTCTGTGTAAAGACGCAATGGCGCATTAAACCCATGCAAAATATAAAATATGCCAGCCCTGACCCACTTAATGCCCTAGTAATGAATGTAGATGATGCAGCTTTGCAGTGTTTTGGTGCCTTAAAAACTGTTATTGTCATGACAGAGCTTTTTTTACTTTCTAATTTTGCATTTTCAATATCCATCATTTTAGATTTAAAACAAAGTACGACTGCAGACAAAAATGCCATTCGATTACTCTGTGTAAATACATGCCTTGTGCAGCATCTGTGCTGGTTTTGCAGTGTAAAGATGGCATATTTCAGGTCATCAGTCAACTCTGGTGCATATTCTCCCTCAACATCTGGATTTTTCCTTGCCTTTACACCTTTTTTATTTATTTTTGGGGCTCATATATATATTTATATATCTCAAGGCCCTCTCTGCAAGAAAGAAGGGGGTGTGAAACAATTCTCAGACTGCATAAATACTAATTCAGTGACTATAGCTATTATTGAACACAGTTTCTATGGCAACTGATTCAGTGGATTCCGACAGAAGCGTTCCCACGGTGACATGCACATGCTGCAGGAGAGAGAGAGAGAGAGAGAGAGAGAGAGAGAGAGAGAGAGAGAGAGAGAGAGAGAGAGAGAGAGAGAGAGAGAGAGAGAGAGAGAGAGAGAGAGAGAGAGAGAGAGAGAGGTTATAGTAGTGAATGTGCTCTTTACTCTCCATGTTTAGACTTACATTATGACTTGAATATTGTGTCCCAATATTTCAATTAATGTTTAGTTTATTTTGTTAAAATTAGGTTACCTTATTGAAACGAGCCCATCCTTAATTTCTGTCTCTCATACTAATACACACATATTTTCTGATTTTGACGGGGGAGGCTGTGAGTCAGCAATATCATGGTTAGTTTTCCTTTCATTATTTATTTATTTTATTTTTTACAAATGCAGATTTAGCTGAATTTTAACAGTTGTCAGGCTTTCTAGAAAAGTGCTGTGAGCGGCTTCATCAGAACAGAAGAAAATGGAAGTGCACTGAATTTGAAAATCTCTTTTAAACACATTTTGCACACAAAATTGGGCAAAATTGTTGGTAGTCATAAAAAGTGACAGTGGGACATTTGTAGTTTTGGAAAAATGTATAATACAAAATAATAATAAAAAAACAGTTTCATAATAATTAATTCCATAATTCAGCAATAAATCCTACATTTATGGTGTTTTTTCACATTTTATGATGGGGAAATGGGCCTGGGTAAAGGGTAAAACAATAAAATAAATAATAGCCTAAATAAAATGTACTTAAATATACTTATATATATAAATATATATATATATGACAGACAGTTTCCATGACAGTTTTAACGGTAACGGTATAAAAAAGAAGAAAAGTTTAAAAAATTTAATAATTTTAATACAAATCAGCTTTTGACTGCATGTAGTTGGAAAAAACACCCTTTTCCATTTGATACTCCATCAGAGCTGTTCAAATAATCGTTTTTTAAATTGAGTTGTTTGCTTTTCAAGACTCACTTCTTAGATTATTCGTTTAACAGACAGACGCGGAACCATAAGTGAACGAGCACACGTTTCTGGCAGGAACTTTTTCAGCAGCGGGCTAAAACAAATATGCAGATGTTTGGCGGGTGATTTTACTGCTCTAGATCAATAAAATCCATGAATTTACATGACAAACAACTGCGTTTAATATTTACGGATCATACAATAAATGCTTGGCACAATGAAATGAAGTTATAAATAAAGAGGGATTTCGTCGCACTTTTGTCTGTGAGTGAACGAGGCGTGTTTAACGTTAAATATTACATTTCTGTCTAAACTAATAAAAATATATTTATACATACATATATTATGTAAAATATTTACATTGGTTTGGTCTAAATGTCTATTTTGTAGCCGAATAGAGGTGTGCTCAGACAAATAAGTACATTTATAATCATATCAATCATATACGTTAGAATAAATAAAGCTGATGTATAAATGTGATTGTGTCTCAGATAATGGCAGGAAGGGGCAGAGGGCAGCTCACTTTCTCTGTGGAGATTGTTGGAATCGGTAAAGGAGAAAATCTCCCTCCGTCCACCGTCCAGCCGACCCCTGTATTCCCTGTGAGTGTTTCAAGATAAGATAAAACCTCAACGGACTGATATTAATTATATTACATTACACTTATGTATTTGGAAGACGATTTTATCCAAAGCGACTTACATTGTATTCAAGATACACATCAATTCTTGCAATCTGGGACTCTCGAGTCTCAGAGTCGAACCCAGGCGTTCCTGGCGTCGTTGAGCTCCAGAAATCACACAACTAAGTAATAACATCTTCTCCAGTTTAACTGTCACATGTAGAGCAGCCCAAAAAAAACTGTAAAACAGCAAAAATATATGAATGTCATCACAACAAAATATTAAAGTGCTATTTATTTTAAAGTCCCCATGAAATCAAATTTGATGGATATGTTAGGCTTAAGGTTATCTATATACTTACAGTCTCTCACTTCCGCCAATATAGATCAATGATTTTTGATGACATTTCTCTACACTTCAGCTTCAAAATTGGACATTTTCTGTCCAAAGTAAAGAGCTCCAGCAGCGCACACACAGTCTGCTCCGGTCCAGAGACACGATAGCAGAGCGGATCTTATTTGGCGCAGACCTGAAAATGTATCAGACCCATTTGAATTCTACACAGAATGCTATATTTTATTTAGATTAGAAATATTTAGATTAACTGCTCTGGCTGAGCTGTGATATAAACAAAACGCTATTGACTATTTTTAAAAGGGAGAGGAGCTGTTTGATATATCCCGCCCTGTCTTCCTGTTCCAGTGGAAATTATGTCAACATTGAATAATGCTGAGCTTTTCAAGGCACTTCACTGGGCTTTTAAAGATAGCACAATTAAAACTTTTTACAAACATAAGTGCAAGTTTTAAATTACTATAAAAAAATAATGTTCATAATAAAACAAAAAGTGGTTGTTAGGAATTGTTGAAACATGTGATGAGTTGAAAAGTCACTGCGAAAAAAATGGTTAAGAATAGTGAAATTAGTTTTGAGTAAAACTCTAGCATAATGAATCCGATATCCCTTATTAAAAGCCCATTTATGTACAGGAATGTTTAATTCAGTCAACAGTTAACTGTCAAAGCAGGTGTTTGTTTGACCCCTTATACAAGACAGATGTGTATCAGCTGTCCTTCCTCAATTCTGTCTGATGTTTCAGCCTCTGGATCAGAAGCCGGTGCCCCTGCAGGCGGGTGAGGAGGCCGAGTACATGCTGGCACTCAAACAGGAGTTCAGAGGAGCCATGAAGACACTTCCATTTTACATCCGTCCAGCTGCACCCAAGAAAGGTCAGGTCAGGGTGGAGGATGAGCTCTTTACTGGCATCTATAAAGTTACCATGATTTTTTTTTTTCTTACAGAACTCTGGTGCTTTGATTTATGATTTATTTGTGCACATCATTATTTATTTTTTAATTCATAGGGACATTATAGATTTTTTAATAAAAAACATTACCCTCCCCCTCTAAACAACGTCTGTTCTGTTCATGATGAATGTCTCGGTGGAGGGCGGGGCTAAATAAATATCCTCCACAACTGACTGCAAACTGGCTTTCAGATCTGGCGCTTGACCAAGTCCAGCTCCACCTCTCCTGAGCTAATGGAGCCCTTTAACCATAATCGGGTTATGGGTAGGGTAGTGGTTCGACCTTATAGCTCCACCCATTATGTTCAGCGAGGAGGGGCTGGACGTCAACTCCACCCATTGGCTCTGCAGTGAGCAGCCTCTCAGCCTCCATTTAGTTAGCAACGTCCAACATCCGATGATAGAATCAATTCCTGAAGGACAAAGTCAAATCCCGCTCTACATTTTACTCATTCCAGAAGCTTGAATATGTCACAATAGGAAGAAAAGTCTATCGCAACTTCCATTTCATGCCGACTTTAAGACATCCTCCATTTCTTTGCCATACAGATTGTATGAAGACAAAATCCAACGTTTTTAAAACAGTTTTAGACTGAGACTGCATAATTTATTAAATAAATTTTTACTTTTTTCACAGATCAAAGACTTAAATCAATCTAAGATCAAAGATGTAAAAATTAGTGATTAGCAATTTGAAGTTATTTTTTCCTCTTGACAGATGTGGAGCGTTATTCTGACAAATACCAAAAAAACGAAACCACTGACAACAGTTTGGAATGGAAGCCAGGTGAGTGATTTATGTCAGTGATTCACTTCAGTGCCATTTTAACATTATTTATATATTTTCAAATAATATTTTGAATTAGTATTTATATTGTCTGTTTTCATTTAAGTTTTTTTTATTTGCTTTTGTGATTTTAAAATGATTATTTTTCATATTTCTTAACAGTTTAAAATTATTTTTTAGTTTTAGTTTTAATTCATTTAGTCATTTTAGCACTTTTTAGACTATGCATATTTCATTAAAATTAATTCATTTAGTTTGTAAAAATTATTTTACAACTTTGTTGCCATGCCTAAAACCCTAAAACAGTAAAAAAAAAAAAAAGAGAAAAAAAGACCTTTACAGCTCAAATAATACACGGGTACTAACAGAAAATGAATTAAAGTGCTTTTATGAAATTATATGCTTCACATGTCTGCTCTAAAAAGTGCCTCACCGTTTGCCTTTTTTAAAGAACACGCGGGATGAATCGAAATGATTTTGTGTGGTAACAAGCATTATGCTGAGGTTTACTTGCATTAAACCAATGTTCAAAATAAGTTTTTCATCTAATACTTGTAATTTCTTTTATCTCAGTTTTATTACAATGAACAAAACATTCTTCTAATAGTTTTAGTTAACAATAACCGCACTGATTCACATGCACGCGTGTGTGATCCTCTACATCCGTTTGTGTTTTCAGACTGGAGGCGTTTTCCGAAGGAGCTGCGCGTGAGGGAGAAGAGACCGCAGAGAGACAGTGAGTTTGTTTGATGCTCTTAACTGGCTCTTATGCTCTAATACTGGACACTGTGTTCTGCAGCAGAAAGCATGGGTTTGTAAATGTGCTCCTGTTTAAAGCCGAGATAAGGGAGCAGGTGAGGCTGATGTGCTCATGAATGAGTGTGTAAAGACAAACCGCTCCGGCAGGTCTGCGCTTCGCTCTCTGACTCATCGGCGTCTCTGGGGAAATCAGAGAGACGGCTCTCAGCCGCGCTGCACACACATCTCCAAAATGAAAGGATGGAGAGAAAGAGAACGATGAGAGAGGGATGAAGGTTTGGGCTTGAAGGGCGTCTGTCACTAAAACAGGAGAAACAAGTTTATTTTTAGTCTTTTGTCAGAGGAGCTGTGATCAAAGAGTAGATGTTATTATGGGAAGATGTTGCTGATGTCATTTCCACTGTCACAAACATGCTTTGCTTATGTGGTTGCAGAAAGCCAAGCTGTTCCCAAACAACCCAAACAGCCACGAGTGGACAAAGAGGAGATCATACGCAAACTGGAGGTGTACAAATACTTGCCATTAATGCGTAATGCGTTCAAAAATAAGGAGTTTTAATCTACTTTGTTACACATTCCCATATAAATTGTGGCATATGAACAAACTGTGTTTCTGTACAGACTCTAGAGCAGAAAGAGGAAGAAGGGAGCTCTGATGAAGGGGAGGGAGAGAAAAAGAAGCCAGAGGAGGAAGAAGCTGAGGGAGAGGAGGAGTGTGATGAAGAGGAATTCGAGGGCGTAAGTGATTCCTTTCTCTTGTGATATTAAGCCAACATGTTTGATCAACAGAGAATGTAAAAAAAGAAAAAAAGAAATGCTCAGTTGAGATGAAAAAACGGGCCTGCAATTTATGACTTAAAATGTCGAACTTGAATGCATTGTAAATCGCATTGGATAAAAGCATCTGCCAAATGCATAATTGCAATGTAAATTTAATGTTATAAGTTCAAAAAACTCCAAAAACATAAAAATTCTCACTGTTTTTATAGTATAGCCACCAGAAGTAAACAATATGCATTTATATAAATCCCTTACTAACCTTTTCTGTAAATGCAGTTTTACAACTTTGTTGCCATTAAAACATAAAGCCTAAAACCCTAATGGTTAGCGAGTCCGACTGGTAACCCAAAGGTTGCTGGTTCGATTCTAGTACCGGCAGGAAATGACTGGAAATTAAACCAATGTTCAATATAAGTTTTAACCAGTTAATCCTGTGTGTGTAACAGGAAACAGATTACGTCATGTCCTACTTTGACAATGAGGAGGAGTTTGGAGGGGAAAGTGATGATAATATGGATGAGGCGATTTACTGAAGCAGGTGACGGTGGCTCCACAGCACCCTCCTCTGGGCAGTGACTGTCTCTGGACCTGTTCTGGGGTGGATCATTATGTTTGGCAGCTAATGTTGAAATCTGTATGCAGTGGACTTCCTCTCCTCCAATCGGTTGGCAAGGTGTTTGATTGCTGACGAAGAGCTTCTGAATCTGAGGGCCACGGTTGGAGGACACAGAGAAAGACACTGAAAGAAAAACTTCTCTTTTAATGCAGCTATACGTTTTTAGAGCTTTGTAAATGATTATTCTTGTGTCATTTTTTAAAATCTTATCTATAAACATGTATGTTTTAGTCTAAGTTTTAGACAGCTGTATTTGTCTGAATAGCTTTTATACATCTTAGATTTTGGATAAACACCAGTAAATGTAGATTGTTTATTTTGTATGATAATTAAGTAATGTTTTATAAAGTCTTAAGTCAAGTGGTTGTAAATATTCATGTTATTGCCATTTTATGTGATAAAGTCACACTGTGTTTTAAGATTTTGTCTCAATGAATATAGATTGGATGGATGGATGGAGTGTAATACTACATTAAAGTTCTATGGTTTACATCCAACTTTGCTGGATATTTCCCTCCATGCTGTTTGTGTACATTCGTTTGTAATCAGAATTCACACAAAAACCCTGATAACCACACATGATTTTAACTGGAAACATTATTTAGTAGTATGAATCTGCATCCATCGAAAAAAAATTAACATGAAATTGCATCTTGAAAAAATGAAATGGATTATTTCTTGAAATAATCATATACCCTTTACTGCATGAATAACAGGAGCATTTGAAATATCTAAGCAGATAAAAGCATCTTTAATATAAACTCTGTAAAAATATAATTAATATATTTGTATTAATTAATATAATAATTTATTTATTAAGGAATAAATTGTTGAAATACATTTTCCTGAACACAGATTAGATTTTTTTTTAAAACACACCAAAATCCCTGATCAACCTCATCATGAACGTGTATCAGAGTTGCTTTCGTAAAATTGACTAACAATATGTGTGTGTGTGTGTGTCTTGGGGAATTGAGTACCACAGTCTATACCTGTCTTTAAATGTCTGGTTAAAGTGATTCACAGGTCTCAGTCTCACCTTTAATTTGCTGTGAATGTTTCTTTCAAGTCAGAGATAATAGCAGGAATATCATTTGACCAGAAACACCTGAAAAGAATCAGAATAGAAAGAAAATTTCATATTTTGTTGAGCAAATGATCAGCAGAGGAGAAAGAATTGTTCTAGACGCGACCCTTCAGCTCGAGAACACTCCGCTGGTTGGGCAAATTTGCTGAAGATGAATTTAGTGGCTGACTCAGGCGTCCTTTAACAGAGAACAGACAGGGGAATTCTTCCAGGAATAAGCCTGGGCTTTTATTCAAGGAAGCGGAGAGCAGTTCATCTCCAGTGGAAGATTACAGCAGCTGGAGACAACTGACATAAGAGCCGTCAAATGAAGCCGCTGCAGTGATATATTCACTCTAGAATCCCTGAACACCGATCAGACACTAAAATCCAGAAAGCTCAGTTAACTGGCATTCAATAATAACCACAATCAACAGCTACACTGTTGAGTTCAGAGTTAATGCCAAATGTCAATAATAATGTACAGCATGGTTATGCTCAGGAAATAATGCCATGTGGCAGAAAATTTCAGAAAATGACCATAAACATTTGTGGACCACCATAGGAAGACATACCCCAATATTTAGTGTTCAAATAATGCAAATTTCCCTCAATCCTTAATAAATTATTACAGCCTTGCAATGTACAAACAGTTTAATATATTAAATATTAATTTAGATTACAAACATGTTTTGTACAAACTGAATTTTGGAGGTTGAATATTACAGTGTTTACAGTATATTATAAATATAATGATAAATAATTACAGCTTTAGTTTTTTTATGATTAAAATATTCACTGTTCTTTTATAACAGAGAAATGCTAAGAATTTTTTTTACAAAATGTAATGCGTGTGATGTTAATTTCATTAAAAACCCACCTTTTAGTTAAATTTTTTAAATAAAAAAATAAATATTAAAATGTAATGGTGGTAAATAGGGACATGCAAATTTGCATTACACTGAGACTGAGTTACATCAATCAAATAATATGTCTAAGTTAAGCACCCTGTTAAAAATGTGCTCAAGTCTATGCTTGCAAAGACATGACAAACTAATTGCACAAATGTTTACTTTGTTTCTTCTTGCACCTCACAGACTAAAATGAAAAATTACTGAAAATCATGCACATGCATATTTTTCCAACACAATTATCAAGATTATCCTTGCAACTTTCTCTCTGCAGAGAGAGCATATATGACCTCACAGACAGCAGAAGGTTTGTAAACCGAGAGTGGATGGCTGCGTCTGAAATCGCATACTTCCCTACTATATAGTAGGCGAAGAACAGTATGCGACAAGAGTAAAATGTGCGAATTCACAGTACTCAAAAAAGAGTAGATAAAAAGTACCCGGATGACCAAAAACTTCTGGCGAGATTCTGAAGTGTGCATACGATGGACTCTTTACTATCCCATGAGGCCACGGGAGAGGATTTATGAATGGCAGTGAAGCGACGTAACTGACGCTGATGGTAGGCCACATGATAATGACAACATGTAGGCGAATGTAGTACGTTCAGATTACATTCATAATACACACACTCATACTATATAGAACATACTTTTTTAGCGCTCGTGAAGTAATTAATTATTCAAAATAAATACCTACTCAAAGAGTATGCGATTTCAGACGCAGCCCACATCTGCAGCCAGACCCTAAACTTCCAAACCAGAAGTTCCAATTGCTTATGTATGTATTATTAAATACTTTGACTAATTTGATCATACTTTCAGCTACCAATGAGACAGTAGGCCAATACTCTTTAACATGTTTTACCATTTTTAAACCCATTGTGCACATTTTCAATCGAAAGTCCATCTAGGCCTGATGAATACCCTGAGGATCCTTTTAAGCTGCAGTAAATAAAAGCAAACACACACACTTACCGAGACAGTTCTTCCAGCTAAGGAGGCGAGGAGATGGCCTCTGTCCTTCAGCTTGGGTAATTAGGATGCAGTGCTCCGTCTGGATGGCTGTGTACTGAAAACAAAAGCAACGTAAGCACCCTACATAATAATTTCCAACCTGTCCTGCCCTCCATAGAGGGATGAATAATTGAGTTTCATACAAAAAACACTCAGTCCACACCACACACACTTATTCCAGGAACATAATTCTTTTTGACACTTGAGGTCTGAGATTGTAGGACACTCTGCATAAAGTAAAAGCTTTATCTGCATTCACGTCACTCATCCCATTCGAATGAGCAAGAGGATCAGTTCAGAGCTAAAATATAAAGCTAACACGATAGAACATCTCTTGTGTTACATTCCCAAACGTATGTTGGCTAAAGAAAACTTTCTGGAGGAGACAACTGATGCAGTGACCAGCAAACAGAAAAATGAGTCAGCATTCAACAATATCAGATGAAGATGTCAGGCTTCCCTGGATGAGCCTGTTACTGATGTAAAGGTCACAGAAATCTGATTCTGAGATAAAACTCAGGCCAACTCTGTCTGGACAGTATGATAGCCACTCCTAGCCTAGCAGATTTCCTCCCAAACAAGGAGATCTTGAATTGAAATGCATTTATTGCTCACAGATGCTGGAGTCTGGACTGTTTTGATGTAGCTCAACAAGTTAGTTTAAAGGGCATATTGCAGGTTAGAGGACCCAACGAGTCAATATATAGAAAAACAATGTAGTAATTAGATTTTCTTTAAAATATACTTAAAAAAAACGTTACATTGGCTTCTGGAGTCGTTTTTGTGAGAGAATTTTACTTCCGCATCTGAAAATGGGCGTGACGGGCGTGACGTAACGGGCGGGAGAGCGGTCGATTCAAACCATTCAAACAACAGGAAAACAATGGATCGCAATGACATTTCGGACTTACTCGTATGACAGACCACGGACGACAGCCTTACAATTATGAGCCTGCTATGCTGCTGAGAGAGCAGGGACAGGCCAGGATTAATGTTAGACAGAACAACGGTCAGAGGAGACATTATTGCAAAAGTAGGCCTATTATTATAAAAAAAACTTGCGTGGAGTGAGTGTGCGCAGCCGCAGTTTATTGCATCACTTAATCACGCTATTTTTGATTAGCCTAGCTGTCAGATACTGAGTAAACATTAAAAGAACAGGCCTATTCAATCTTCCCTGGATGTTTTTTTAACGAAGAAATTAAATAATAGCAATCAGGAGAATGGAAGCAGGAATAAAAAAATGAGGACTGTAGTGCTGTCGGCAAAACATTATACCACTGCAATAAAAACTGCACTGCAACAAAAAGGTAAGGCATATGTGTTTTTATATTTAATGCTGTTCACTGTGAGTTTTAATTAATAGTGTAATAGAGTTAATAGTGCATCGTTCATTCTGTTTGGTAAAATGTGGTGTATATCGTTCGATAATGTCGTTGTTTTACATGCACAGAGTAATGGGGAATGCCATAGGCCTATTTAAAACGCCGCCACGGCAGGTGTCGTGGTGAGAGACCACCGCTAACTTATAGATATATAGCCTATATACACGTTCGCTAACGATATACATTGTGCTCACAATATTGTACAGATTATTACCATCGTATATCAGTTAATAGCAAAGCTATTATTGGTAATCTAGGACTAGGAGTATTGGAATTTACCAGAATAAACTAAGCTTTGATCAGGCGCATGTCATGCTCATTAATATCCATCCAGACTAACGTAAATTACATGATATAACTTAGCGTTTTCTCATCGAGAGACAGATAGATATTTTTATTCCTGATATAGCCTACACGTTTTTGTTTCTTCGATCTGGTGTACGCTACACACGACCGCGTTTTTCGAAGCCGATGCAGAAGAGAAATCCTGTCTCGCAGCTGCACACACCGCACACAGGCACGAAAGATATAGCCTACAGTCCCTTTTCTTAGAAGACCTGTGGACTCGATGTCCTGACAGGCTGGAGTTTTTGCAACCTCCACAAACACAATAATTTACCATGACGATGATAAATTAAAATACAAAAACTATACCGAAAACACTGATTCACGACGCTCTCACTGACTTTTTTTTTATTCGATGCCACAAGAACAAGAGGTTTTACATATTCACAATATCACATTAACATTAGCTGCCAGGAAATAAAAAATACAAAAAAAGTTTTACATAAAATCCAGTGCTTTCAAAGCATTACATGTTTTCATTGCTTTTTTGTTTTTAGTTTGTTCCAAGAGATGTAGCCTACATATGTGAAGTCATTTATAAAATGTGAAAAAAGCCCAATTCTTTTTATGAATCAGTGTATGGTATTTTCCTAATAAAACAAATAACTGTATAATATGTTGTTCTTTACATTCCAAATTGTCATTCTGAGTATAAAAAAGCTAATTTACCCGCTCGTACATACAAACCTATCTGCGCTGCTGAGGCTCCCTCCCTCTGGTGACGTAAAATGACGCGATGTTGAAAAAAAAACGGTTTTTACGAGCAGTCAAAGAAATGCTCACTTTATCTACTAAATTTGTGCCCTTATGTCGTTTTAAAACATTTTAAATCCTGCATTACCTTTTCATATGGTATTTTCATACAAGGTTATATATTAATTTAGATTTTTTTTTTTTACCTGCAATATGCTCTTTAAGAATCAGAAAAGAATGTATCTGAAGTGACAGCTTACAGCTGTGAAGCCACATAATCTGTTCATCTTTTTCACATTTAAAAATGCTGCTTGAGCAAAGATCGTCCGGTATGTTTGATAGTTGTAGAACAAGGCTAATATTTTGTGTGTGTGTGTGTGTGTGTGTGTGTGTGTGTGTGTGTGTCTGTGTGTGTGTGTGTGTGCAGACCTACCATGTTTTCAATAGCATCCACTGTTAAAATCTATATAAAGCTAGATCACTTATAATTTCCACAGCTCATGTTGTCTGGAGTTTTTTGTCTATGACATTTCTTGGAAAGATATTTTTGCAGTGTTTGTTTAGTCAGCAGAACAATCAAAAAACACATTAAATAAATAACAGTACAACCCACTGAAGAGATGACTCACTCACAGCCTCGCTTTCATGTTAAAAATCAAAGATGGCGCTGCTGTGAATTAGGTCTTCCCTACATGTATTGTCCACTTGAATGAAAACGAGTGAGTGAGGGATCATGGGCTAAAGTGTCCATCATATGCACACTTCAGAGTCTCGCTGGAAGTAATTGGTCATCCGGGTACTTTTTGCCTACTCTCGCTGTAGCCTACTGTGTAGGGAAGGCTATTATGAATTCTACTGTCACATACTGTTTTTCGCCTACTATAGGGAAGTATGCAATTTCGAATGCATCTAGCGTTTGCGCGTAAAGGTACCTCAGGAATCTGTCTCCATCTACTGGCGATGTGGAAAGAATCACTGAACAAATCTGAACAACTGATTTTAGTAGGCAAAACAGATTTTAAAAATCGAGTGAAAACATTACATTTTAATATTTTCTGAGAAAAAAATGTTGAAGTAAGGTAAGGCTTTGCTAGGTGGTTAGTGACATATGTCAAAATAAGAGCACTAGTAGTCTGTATGCAATTCTGTTCCCTTGGGCTCTTTCCTCAGTGTCCTTCAATCGGTTTATATAATTGTGATTTCAGCCCAATTATTATAACATGCATGATTTGAGGCATCATTAAACTGTGCCAGACAATTTATGTGCCCAAGTGTAATTGTTTGCGGTTAGAGATTTGTTCAAATACCAAACTCTAAGCATGATGAGAGTATAGGGTAGCTGTGGTATTTTAGGCAGTTCATAAAACAAGCTTTCCGTCCTTATTACATGTGCAAATAATATTGTCTATAATATCTGCATTACTCTAGCTCAGGGTTATTAATAACATATCTCACGGACATCATCTCTATTATGCATTTTATAAAATGCTTCAAATTCTAGGCCACACATGTAAAACAAATACCAAGGCTCATGTTGCACCTGTCAGTCACAGTAGAGAGTCCCGCTCTACAGCATTAGTCAGCAGGACAACCTCTCTCACATAACAGTAATCTAAAACAACCGGATAATGGCAAAGATTAGCTGATGGCTGGAATAATTAGTATTATGGCACCTGTAACTATTTGACATTTTCATTTTAATATGCTCTACAGAAGCAAGAGTGATGAATGGCACAGTGTCCGGTGCTCTTCTCGTGCAATGGAATCACAATTGTCACTGCAACCAAATTAAGCTCACAGAAAAATCTAGAAGAGACTGGTATAAACAGTTCTACTTGGGTGGATTTCTAAACTAGGCTAAAGTTCGGGAGGTGAGGAAAGATACAGATCCTTTTTTGAGAGCGCTCTAAGAAAAGGAACAGCTGCATAGTGAGTAAACAACCATATCAGGTATCTGATTCTCTCATTTAATGTATCCAGGATAGCTGATGTTGCCCTTGATGTAGTTCCATCCCAGCACGCATACAGTCTTGCACAAATGATTCTTGGAGGGACAATTCCTCTCCCTCCCCTGTGTTGAAATGTTAAAGGTGAAGTGTGTTTGCAATAACAAAAATAAACATGTTTTCCCAAACCCTCCCCCAATTGCCATTAGTTTACCAGAACAGATATCCCCGCCCCAAAATCCCACCATTGGTTCAGGCTATGTTGCAATACTCAAACATACAAAGATAAGTATTTCAGGGAAACCAACCTCGGGGAAACAAACAAACCATTGTTGTGAAACAACATTTTAAAATCACAGTATGTAAGATTTTTGGATTAAAATATATATATATAAAACAATGTTATATATTTTGTTTACTTGTGTACATCATCCCAAATGTTTCAACAATGTTTAAATACAGAGAAATCAGCTATTTTAACCAGTGTAATATCATTGGGTCGCCTAGCTGTCAATAACGTCATACACTGTAAAAAAAAAAAAGTTGATGTCTTAAATTGTTACGTACATTCAACTTTACATTAAGACATTTCAACTTAAATTACATTAAACTGACTTAAAAAATGAGTTGAATCTTGTATAACTTATAAAAACAGTTGAAAATTGCTTAACTTATTTTGATAAGTGTTTTTTATTGTTGTTCAATT